GGAGGGGGAGGAGGAGGAGGAGGAGGAGGAGGAGGAGGAGGAGGAGGAGGAGGAGCCTCTTTGCCTGTCCTGCGCCGTCGGCGTTCCCTCCTCTGGCAGCGTGATGCAAGGCCGGCACGGCCTGCATCGGGGTACCGGGACACGCGGCCTACAAGGAGACCCAAGCCACCCCGGAGACACCAAAAAGCCGGGTCCCCGCTCGACTGAGGCGCAAGGAGGCCAGGCCAACCCCGAGCTTGGCAGGCGGCTGGCCCAGGGATCCCCACTTCTGAACTGTGCACGCCATCTGGTGCGAGAGGCAGCTCTCTGGCCTTCCGAGCTGATCCCGTTTCCAGCTGGAGGCGTCCAGCGGTCGGCCTGGGCACTGCTGCATCGCTGAGCAAAAGCAGCAGCCCGCCGGCCCTCTCCGCCTCGCAGGCCAAAGGCCTGGCCTTCCGCAGCAAGCATTTTCAGAGTGCAGAGACACCGGATCGGAAAGACAGCGCGGAGCAGAGTCCAATGTTTTGGTTTTGTTTGTTTGTTTTTTTAAATCCGCTTGTCAGGTCACTTACTGTGGTATTCAGATAAGTCCTGCTTGCACAAGCGCAGTCCTCCAGCGACCAAACGCAGACTTCCCCTGAGCGCGTGAGCGTCTGCAAGAGAAGCGGAGATCCAAGTCCAGAGGGAGAAAAAGAAGGCTCTGCCGCGGAATCGCGTCTAATCACCGCCCAGCTTGTCAATCCCAGGGGTGAAAAATTTCATTCTACTTGTGGAGATTGTAAACAATTATTTCATAATTTCTACATCAATAATTCTTTTCTAGAGAAATAGTAATCTTTTACAGATTTATGACAAATGCATTAAATGTACTTGAGTTTAATCCTTGTATTGGCCTGTAAATAATGCTGGTGTCCCTACATGAAAATGGTATCAATTTCATTTCTTAAAAATAAACATTTTTGTTTATTTCCACACAAAAATGAATAATATTTTAATGGCATTTAAGTAAGACACAATAAAATTTGGAAAGTAAGTTAAAAATTTTTGCCATGTAACATATTTAAGACAAAAGTTACCTGGCAAGTCAATGAGATTATTGCCTGCTTTAGCCATCTTTTTAGTGGGACAAAATGCCAGACACCAGCAATTTACAGAAGAGAGCTTTGCTTTTGGCTCATGGCTTCAGAGGTTTCAGGCCAGGGCCAGCTGACGCCAAGGCGAGGGTATCCTGGTGGAGCCAAGCGGCTCACTTCCTGGCAGCCCGTAAGCGGAGGACACAGGAAGAGCGCCTGAGCAGGTGCAGCCCTGCAAGCCGCGTCCCCAGTAACCCGCCCTCCAACTGAGGCCGGCCTCCTGACGGCACGTTCACCTATGAACATCTGTAGATGGAGTCACACCCCACGGTGCTGCGAGCGGCCGGAGCTGGAAACTGGTCATACATGTGTGGGCCGGACAGGACCGCAGTGCCCAAGGCAGTCAAGCTACCTCAGTCTTGAGAAAAGCAGCCTGCCTGCCTGCCTGGACAATTTCAGTCATTAGTTGCTAGGCAACCTTGTGTCTCCTGATACTAGATTTGCAAGAGTCTAAATAAACGTCCCTACTGTTGTTCAGTCCTTTTGCCTATCAGGGGAGAGACCTCTGCCTGGCCCAGCTCTTGTCTCATCTTTCCTTTCCTCCTTCCTGCCTCCGTTCTTCCCTAGGAACACTGGGAGACCACCTGTCCCACACCATGGGTTCTACTGTCCCTTGATCCAATCACATCTGCTAGAGTCACACTCTTGTCAATTTGACAGTTAAGATTAGCTAGCACATAGCCTGATGGACAAACCAAGAAATACAAAATGAGACAGGGCCTTTTTAAATGAATAGACTTTGGTTTTTAGAGCAGTTTTAGAATTATAGGAAAAGTGAGCAGAAAGTATGGAGAATTCCCTTCCTCTCCTCTCTGCACGTACAGCTCTCTCAGTACAGATGTCCTGCATTAGTGTGGGGTATTTGCTGGAAGAGATGAGGCAGCAGTGGCCCACTGTGCTGCGACTGACTCAAGTCCAGAGCTTATGTTAGGGCTCGCTCTGTGTTTTGTTTACTGTGTGTGTCTTCACAAACGTCCAGTAGGTGGCTGCCATCACCAGATCGGCGGAAGCAGTACTTCCACTTCCTTTAACAGTGCCCCGTGCTCCCCGTTCCGCCTCACCACACTCCTGGCAGCCTCGGAGCTTTTGACTATTTCCACAGTTTTCCTTTTCCAGAGTGCCATGCAGCAGGGCCACACAGTCTGTAGGCTTTCAGATTGGCTTTTTTTTTTTTTTTTTAAGTATATTTGGCACAGGGTCTCACTACACAGTCTGACTCATAGTGGTCCTCCTATTTTCAGCCTCCCCAGCACTGGGATCGCAGGTGTGTGCCACCACACCTGACTTGGTGGCTGCTCAGCACAGCCAGGGGCAGGGCGGGCATGGCATGTGGCCCCAGGGATGGGACCCCAGTCCCTGCACTTGCCCACGCAGGTGCTTAGACCACTGAGCTGCCTTCCCAGCCCCAGACTGGCTTTTACGAGTTATGCCCGTGCATTTAAGTTCCGCCCTTTCGGTGCCCTCTCGCTGCTTTTCCTTACGGAATAATATCGCATTACTTATCCATTCGCCCACCAAGAGACACGTAGTTGGCTCCCGGTTGGGTGAGCGTGAGTGAAGCTGCCACAAGGATTCACGTGCAGCTCTGTCACGTAAGTGTGTGCTTTCTGCTCACTTGGGCGAATACTAAGAAGCGGAACCCCAAAGGCGCGTGGGAAGTACAGGTGCGTGCAGGTGCGGCTCCGCAAGGCCTGGCCCAGCCTCCTCCACCGAGAGATGGGACAGAGTCTCTGCTCCACACCTGCATGCGACGTGGCCGCCGCCCCTGGACGCTGGACCTTCTAATGCGTGCCGATGGCAGAGCGTCGCGGCTTTCCCGTACAACAGACAAGCGACGTGAGCAGCTTTTCAGCCGTGTATTTTCCACAGGTATATCTTCTTTAGTAAAATGTCTGGCGTATTTTTTGCACATTTTAAAGGGGTTTTACATTTTCTTATGGTTGAATTTTAAGTGTTCTTTTTATGTTTTGGATACCAGTACTTTATCTGATAAATGTTTCTCAGAGATTTTTCCTTCAGTCTCTGGCTTGTCTTTTTAGTCTCTTAACAGTCTTTTCTTTCTTTCCTTCTCCTTTGTGGAACTGGGGGTTGAACTCAGGGCCTTTTGCGTGCTGGGCAGCCTCTCTTGCACTGAGCTACGTCCCCAGCCCTCAACAGTCTTTTATAGAACAGAAGCTTTTAATTTAATGAAGCACAATTTATTAGTGTTTTTCTTTCATGGATTGTGACTTGGTATCTAAAAGTCATTACCAAGCCCAGGATCACTTAGATTTTTCTCTTATTGTCTTCTAGGAGTTTTTTAGTTTTGCATTTGAATTTTTTTGTGATAGATGTAAGAATAATCTAGATTGTTTTGGTGTAGAGAGGGCAAGTTGTTCCAGCACGATTTACTGAACTGCCATTGCTCCTTTGTCAAAGATCGGTTGACTCTACTTATGTGTCTAGATTTCTAGGCTTTCTAGGAAGGCTTTCTATTGTGGGACCTCTATTTTGCCTTTGTATACAAATTTTAGAATTAAACTGGGTGTGGTGGCACACACCTGTAATCCCCGCACTTGGGAAGCTGAGGTAGGAGGATCATTATGAGTTCAAGACCAGCCTGGGCTACATAGTGAGTTCAAGGCCAGCCTGAACTGCATAGTGGAACTCTTGTCTCAAAAAGGCAAAAAAAAAAAAAAAAAAAAAAAAGTCATTTTGCAGACAGTAACTTGATATCTTGATTGGAATTACATTTAATCTATAGATCTAGGTGGGAAGGACTGACATCTTGACAATACTGAATCTTCTATCCATGCCCTACAATCTCTCTATAATTTAGATCTTTTGGATTATCTCATCAAGGTTTTGTAGTTTTTCCTCATACAGAGTATACTTTTTTTTTGCATCTGATTCTTATTTTTTCTCTTTTCTTGTTTTTAATTTATGTATTTGGTACAGGGTTTACAGGGTCTCACTACGTAGATCGGACTCGTGGTGATCCTCCTATTTTCAGCCTCCCAAGCGCTGGAATTACAGGTGGGCACCACCACGCCCAGTCTCAATCACTATCTCAGTGCGCCCCGGGGGCGGGGCCGGCACGGCAGGCCAGGGATTGGACCCCAACTGCTGCGCTCTGCCTAAGCAGGCGCTTTAGTCCACTGAGCTATCTGGCTGGCCTTTAGATCATACATTTTATTAGGCTTATAGTGTGTTCATTGTTTTGATGCTAAAGAAAATGGTGATGTACTTTAAATTTCAAATTTTAATGAGCAAGCAGTTGGCTTTCCTTCATGCTAAAACTTTCACCTCCCAGTGTCGCGGCGCTCGCTGCTGTGGGACCGCTCTTGGTGCGCTTTGTTCACTTCGGAAAAATAACTTTCCCGTGGTCCGGACTGAAAGCGGCTTAACATGACTGTAGTGTGGCACAGTTCAAGTTCCATTTCTTGAGTTTCTCAAGTGTGAGGTATGCGTGAGCCAGCAACGCGGACCACATGTCCAGCGCCTACACACGCCAGTCTTGTGCAGACTTTTGTGCAGTTGGAACAGCCATGAAATAGATGTTTGCTGCCGGAGATTACCTGGAGGAAAAGTCACCAGTACTGCCAGATGGGAAAAAAATCTGTAACTGCCACTTACTGCATAGCCTGTGTAAGTTTTTATATTTTACAACACTGAAATCTTGATGATAGTGTTGATGAATCATATTAAAATTGAAATATCTTGAGACCACAAAAGGTAAATAAGCATTGGAAACAAGTCTAAATGCAGAGAACTTGGTTTTCCTAGGTAGACTGAATTCTTGTTTTCTGCACTTTCACCCAGAGGTGGTATGCACGGCCCTCATTCTAGGAGGCAGGAGATATTGAGCATGGTTGCCAGCCTGGGCTTGCAGAGCTTGGTTACAGAGCAAAGATGTCTTCTAAGATCCCAACTGCATTCGCTGCTTTCAGGAGAAAACACTATGACATCCCAAGATGATGCCATTCCAACCGGGGTCCACTTTGATTATGCCAAGAAGTGCAGCTCTAAAATGACCCTCCCCACAAGTCTCCTGTGTTCAGAAGGCGACTGGCTTGTGGGTGCCTCTGCCCCTCAGCGGGTTCCTCCAGGCCGGCTTCAGTAGCTGGGTGTGCTCTTAGGGGGTGGGGCCGGGCTGGAGGGGAGTCCTAGGGGTTGACCTGGAGGGGCTCACGCCCTGGCTCTCCCCTCTCTCTCCCCTCTCGCTGCTTCCTAGCTGCCTTGAGCCAAGCAGCTGTCTTCCGCTCAGACTCTTCCACCTTGACTGTTCTGCCTTGGAGCCAGCGAACTACGAACTACAGACAGAAACAGGAGCTAAAATTAAGCTGTCCTCTCTTAGGTTTTGGGTGTGGGTGTTTGGTTCCGGCCATGGGAAAGTAACTAAGGTGTTATCTCTCCATAATCTTCAAATGCACTCTGGTTCATGTCTACACTGAGTAACTGCTTTGAAGATAACAATACACAGTGTGTTAACTATTGTTATTTTCTTATTTTGTTAGGAAATTGTGGAGTTTTTTTCATGATATAAAAAAGGAGTGCTAAGTTAGTACTGTGCAAAAATAAAATTGTCATAGAAAGACACAAAGAAGTTATCATCTGCCTCCTATTTTGTGGTACTTTGGACGTGAAATTCCAGCGTTATCCAATCACATGTGGATAGGAATTTAAATCTGGAAACCACACATCATTAAACCCTCCTGCATCACGGTAAAATATTCCTTACCATGAAATGTTTGGTTCCAGGTGTGATGAAGTCAATTGCCTGAAACCTCCCATCACAAGCATCCAGGACTTTATCTAAGGTTGGCTCCTCATCAAAAGTATAAATATAGACAGACCCCTGACAAATAGAAGAAAGGAGGGGTGGGAGGTTACAACTGTTGCACATGTAGCTCAACAAGTATTTATTCAGTGCCTAATATGAGAAAGGTGCTGCAGGAAACAGGTCGCAGAAAGTCACAGAACTCAATGAGGCTCTGATTTGAGGAATTTAAAATCTAGATGCATCCTTTGCTTATTGCTTGGCTGTTACATTCACTTAAAATAAATGGTCAGATTTTCATCAGCTGCTGAATGGCCAAAGCGCTGCAGTCTTTTCATGCAGTGGAGCCCTGTGCTGCCATGGAGATGAACCTGAGGCGTTTCCAGGTAAAAGGCTGCATCCTGGGACACGCTCTCTTTTTGTTGATGCCAGAGATCAAACTCAGGACCTTGCACTTGCCAGGGAGATGCTTACACCTGCTGAGCTATCTCACCAGCCCCTAGAGGACACACTCAAGTGAACTAAACTGAACACGTGTGTGTGTGAGTGTAAAAATACCACATTGTTTCTCTTGTGTGAGAAATAGAAAGTGTAAAAAAAAGACCAAGATATGTAATAGATATTGTGAAGCAGAAAGAAAATGTTCAAATGGGAAGGTGACCTAGGGATGGGGGAGAGCAAAGGAGGGGGAGGGAAAGGAAAAAACGATGGGGAAAGAAGACAACACAGAAACAAAGCTTTCGTAACTAAGGAGCGGATGTGGGGTTCACGGGAAGGCAGGGGAGTGGGAAAGAATCAAGAGTGTCACGCAGGGGTGCAGATTCCCTACAATGAACTGATGATCATGTGTGCCTACGGTGTGCCAAGAAATGTAATTAATTTTGAAAAATAACAAATAGGACAGATCCTGGGTACTTGTTTTTTTTTTAAATTATAAACATAAAGCACCTTTCCTTGATTTTAAGCTAATATATATATTATACATATATGCATACGTATAGTCCCCCAAGTAGCTATAACATAACATGTAGTCACATAGCAAGAAGAAGTCGGCTTTCAGCCGATCACAAGTTCTTCAAGGTAACGTGAAATAACATGAATATTTTTGTTCTTGTCTGTCTGAGTAAGACAGCTCTACCCTTAGGGGGTTTACATTCTACCACGGGGTTCACACAATAAATAATACACCCAAATAAAACATATGGCAAATAAACAGATCTGATGTATGTCCAGCTGGAATCCTAGAGAGGAGAGCGCATAAGATAGAGACAAGGCTTCAACAGGTCTTGGCTCACAATTTTCCAGCATTGTCTCTGTCTTATGCGCTCTCCTCTCTAGGATTCCAATTAGACATATATCAGATCTTTTCATCCAATTATTATTATTTTATTATTTGTTTGTTTGTTTGGTACAGTATCTTACCGCACAGGTCAGACTCCTAGTGATCCTCCTGTCTCAGCTTCCCCAGCACTGGGATTACAGGCACGCGTCACACGCCCTATTTCAGTGGCCAGCACAGCATGTGGTACCAGGGATCCAACAAGGGACCTTGCGCTGGCCAGGTAGGCGCTTCGACCGCTGAGCTCTCTCCTCAGCCTCATCCAATTATTCATGCCTCGCCTCTTCTCTTCTCTTCTCTTCTCTTCTCTTCTCTTCTCTTCTCTTCTCTTCTCTTCTCTTCTCTTCTCTTCTCTTCTCTTCTGGATTTCCTTCCTTCTGCTTCTCTTGGCTATATTCTGAGTAATCCTCCTATCTCCCAGGTCATTAATTCTTTCTCTGGCTATGTTTCATCTTTGGTCAAATATATTCATTTAATTTTGGCTTTGTTAGTATTTTTTCACTTTTGGGAGTTTTATTTGGGTCTTTTTTTTTACTTGTTACAGTTCTTTTAAAACTAGTTTCTTATTCTTCATAGACATTCTAAGTTTATTATTGATTAAAGCGTAGTACAGTTGTTTTATAATTACCAAAAACTGAAGTCCATTGATACTGACATTTAAATTGTTTAACTTATAATCTAAAATTATTGCTTAACAATATAAATGGCTGCCATTTCTGACCTCCGAGGGCTATTCTACTTATTATAAGTCTTTCTAACATATAACAGTCCTTTATTTTTGCCTGCATTGATTTTTCTTTCTTCTCCTACAGAACCCCCAGTTTCCTTAGAGAACCACAGGTGCAGCCTCAATCCGTATTTTGGAGGGTTGGCTCTACCTAGGGCCCCGAGGTAGGCCTGTGCCTTAGGCCTGGCCGATCAGAGCTGAGACTTTCCTTGGCTGTAGTGACTGACCCAAGGATAATACAGATGATCAAAGTTAATCCAATGATTCTATATTCTAGGACCTTTTTTTAGCTGGCAACTTTCGACTAAAGTTACTGAGAAGACATATAAGCTGAAGCTTCAGGAAGCTCAATAACATAGTCTTCTCAAAAGTGGAGGAAACAGCCAACAAACACAGGAAACGCTCTAGGGGGCACCCTGGGACCCCCTGGACTTGGATCCGCACCTCACTCGTTACAGTTACATCCACTGGGCCGGCAAGATAGCTCAGCTGTCTAAATGCCTGTTTAGGCAAGCTTGAGGACCATGGTGGTCCCTGTGGTTGCCTAAGCTTGCCTAAACAGGCAACTCAGACAGCCAGTATGCTGAGCTATCTCACTGGCCCACTTGAGCCTTTTAAATTGGGTCTCTTTTCCAATTGAAGCCAAAGGCCTCCTGACTGGTGACAGTCATTATGTGGCGCACTCCACCCTCCACTCCTGCCACGTACTGATGGTAATTCTAGTATCTGCAAACTGTATGCCAAGAGACCCCCAAGAGACCCCCTCTAACATACCTTGTCTGTTTGAATCAGCAGCATCCTGTAGCTGGGAGAGGACGCCAGATATTCCACGGGACTTTCAACCTCAAGAAATTTCTCCGTTTTGTAAGAACTGGAATCTTTAACAGTGAGAGAGTACACGAAGCCATCCTGCAGACCAACATGGTGACGTGAGCGCGAGACGGCCGGTGTGGCCACAGCACAGAGCGCCTGCCCCCTCAGATAAGTGAAGGCAGATGGTGACCATCTATTGCCTACTTGGAATCTGTGTTTACATTATCTAGAACACTCTGTCCTTTTACCTTTATTTTATTATTTTATTTATTTATTTTTGCAGTACCGGGGATCAAATTCAGGACCTTGTGCTTACTAGACAGGCACTTAAGCAGCTGAGCTATCTCCCAACCCTCTTTCACCTTTTTTAGACACTTTTAAACTATGTTCCTTGGCAGTCTTCTATTATATCTCTCCTGTGATGTATATCTAGTTGGAATCCTAGAGAGGAGAGTGCATAAGACAGAGACAATGTTTCAACAGATCTTGGCTCACAATTTTCCAGCATTGTCTCAATTAACTTAAAATTTGACTGACCATTCCTTCCTTTCGGCTTCTCTGGCCTCTACCTTTTCACCTTATTCTTCACCGTATAGGAGGTGAGGCAAGCGGGGCTGTTGTGCATAGCAGCTGCCCTGCTTCAGAGGACCCTGGTCCTAAGCACGTTCTTAGGCATTGTTGGGTGCGTTTCCCATCTCCCTAAAGGACCCGAGGGTGGGAACGCGCCCCGCCCAACGCTCAGAGCCTCTCCTCTGGCTTCTTGCATGTGGCACACTGTGGCAAGTGTCTAAGAAAAATGGGCTGCGTGGTTGGTTGGTGGGTCGCTGTAAACAGATTCAAATACTCTCAAGAGGAATCAAGGTTTTTTACATAATGAAGAGCCTCTGGACAAATGCATCCCTCATTTTCTAATGGATCCCAGGATAACAAGGAGCCACTTGTGAGACAGCTGAGGCTGAGGCCTGGAGACGGCTGAGGCAGGTCAGTGCTGACCCCAAGCTCCTTAGCATTCTCCACCCCTCACAGAGCAAATGCAATGATCATTTGCTTCAAGTAAGTTAACACAAGCTCTGAGCTGAAGGTGGCCCTGAAGAGAGTCACAAAGGCCATAAATCCCAACTAAATGTTGAAGGGAAAAGAGGGGACAGTCCACTGCATGGATGGGGGAGGAATTTTGATCTGAATGCAGGGACATGGGTCCCAGACGACGTCACTGTGGGACACACTTCTTTCACCCTGATGGCCTCGCTTTGCTGCCTCCAGGGCTCTAGGAAGTGATCTGTGGCAATGGAACGAACTCGCTAACAACGGACTAGGGACAGCTACATCTAGACCTGAGATCTCCATATTGGTCAGTCACAAACCTGAGCACTGACGACTACAGCAAAGGAACACACAGCCTGACTGCGCGCCACACCAAGGGGGCTGTGTGCTATCGTAGGTGGCTGCACAGACATCAGAGACTGCCGGCCCTGCTCAAGCCTGCCTCCGCCACTTACTTTCTGGTGACCACTGTGAGACGTGGTTCTTCTATGTGCAGGCAGAGGACAAGCTTGTGGCGAGGACCAACAAGAATGTGCGACTAGGGCCAGGGAGATGGCTCAGTAGAATAAGCGCTTCCCTGGCAAGGGCCTGAGTTCAATCCCTGATTGAACTCACCAAAAAAAAAAAAAAAAAAAAAAAAAAAAAGAACGTGCGACTAAAGCACTTAGCCTAGTGCCTGCCACAAAGAAGGCACTGAGTAAATAAATAATCATCCCGATGTCCACAGTAATGACATGACATGTGTCAGGGAAAATGGTAACACCCAAGAGCCTCTGCTGAGGCTTACACAGCGGCTCCAAATTCATATCTGACAACCAACGTATTATTGCAAAAATGAGTACGGAAACCTCTTTGATGTTTTTGCATGGAGATAGATGGTGTTTTAAACTCTATTTTTGTTTTTATTTACAACAAGATCAATCTATGGAGTTGACTGAACCACCCTCTTTACTTTTGCATCAAATTGAAATTCTTCATAAGAATACATTTTAATTAATAATCTGAAATAGTTTGGCATCCCCAAAACATGACTCAGGTAAGCGACAAGAAATGGAGGCATATTTTGTCCTGAAAGCAATTAATTTTGAAAAATAGAATACATTACAATTCCAGAAGCAAAGACGCCATCCTTCTGATAGACCAGGGTGACCGGGCTGATGAGATGTGGCGCGCCTTCTGAAAAGAAAAAGGTATAGGTGTGCGGCATCGAATGAGAAGTGCAACTTGACCATGAACCATGGAAACTGCTTGGTAATGATTACTCTGTATTTTATAGTATGTAAATTTATATATCAAAAAATAAATCATAGTGCCCAAAAAGAAGGTGAAAAGAAAAAAATGATCCAGAAGGACATTTATTATTAATACAGTATTGTCCTTGGAGGGAAACAGCAAAAGTGTAGCACCTACCAAATCAGAGAACTACAAAAATCAAGGGCTCAGGGGGCTGGGGAGATGGCTCAGTAGAATAAGCACTTGCCTGGCAAGCACAAGGTCCTGAGTTCAATCCCCAGTTCTGCAAAAAAAAAAAAAAAAAAAAAAAAAAAATCAAGGGCTCAGACGGGTCCATCCTGTTTTCCTGCACTCAGGACGCAGTGCTAACGGTTGCCAGCGGCTGAGAAGCATCCTGTGCTCTCCTCCAAAGCCCTCACCACACCCCCTGCACTTTCCTTCGCCGTCCAAGTGACCCTGGAGTCCAGGTTCTTATGCCTGCCGGCCTGGTCCAGGGGCTTGCTGCTTACGACCACGTACTTCTAAGGTCTCGCATTCCCGACCTGTGGCCACACCAGTTACCCAAGCACCACCATCCCAGTTGAGGTACACCCCAATCACTTGGGGTGCTCTGGTGCCTACCCATCAGCAGCTAAATTAAGTACAAATGCTCTGGCTGGACACTAGGGACGGCCAGCTCCGGCACGTATGTCCGTTCATTCCCCGCTGCTCCCTGCTAACACTCGGGGCTCCACACAAGCAGCGCTACTTCCTGCTTCTTGACTTTCCCCAGTCTCCTGTGCAGACACAGCCATGAGGCCTCCTTCAAGAGTCAGTTTCAATCCAACCATCATGACTGCAGCAGGAACAGCTTCCCTCACCTGCGACCCCCAGCACACTTTGTGAGGCTCAGTTCTAATGACATCACGCTCTTTCTCTCTCAGGCTATAACTCTTTGGCTACTTATTTCATCATCTTTAATGAAACCGAAGTCCCTTGAGGATGGAAATTCCGAGACTGCATTTGTCACTCACGAATCCTCCCGAGCGCCTTGCTGTGGTGCCTCCTGCACCGCGGGCGCTTGCTAATGAGGCATTCGAAAGCATTCATCGTGGAAATCGTAAGAAACAGCAAACAGGAGGGAAATAGTGAACGTAAGACTACATACGATTAAGTCCCAAGTTATGAAAAATACATTGAAAGACATGACAGAAGCTTGGAAATGAGCAGCTCTGTGCTGTGACTCATTCACAGATACATGCAGGTGTCAGTTCGCTCGGCAGGGACCCGCTGCTCTGCACTGTGGAGTCAGAGGAGGAGCTAGAAAGCGAAGCCTCTGAATGACCTCACACGGTCAATGGCGAATGGGACACCTGGGCATCCCACGGCTCCGCAGTGGCACAGGGTGAGGCTCCCATGGAGGAGTGAGGCCCAGGAGCTCCAGGCTGGACGCCTCACTGTGCCTGGAGGTGTGCCAGGCTAGGGAGCGCTATACCTGGGAGGAAAAGCTCCCCAAGTGGACCTGGCAGGGAGGGGGATCCCGGGGGAAAAAGTGGCCTTAGAGGCCCGCAGGCAGAATCCAGAGCAGCACAGCACGAAGGAGGAATTGTGAAAGGTTCCCACAGGAGGAGCTTATGCCGCAAACACAGATCCAGAACGGGGAGGTACAGAGAGCTACGGAGCCAGGGCCCCATCGACCAGCTGGGAGGGGAGCAAGCACAGGCAGGTCAAAGGGCAGGGCAGGGATGGCATCTTACCAGGGATGGGGGGGAGAGGAGGCTGCGCAGCCGGGGTGGCAGTGGCGGTGAGCAGGGCACTGGGAGCAGGAGGCAAACTGCAGGGAGGGGGTGAGGAGGCGTGGAGTACGGGCTGTGAGGAGAAATGCTGCCCAGAGGAGAACAAACACAGGAGCGGAGCAGGAATGAGGCAGCGGAGCCCCTAGATCAAGGAAGGAGGCTGGGACGAGGGCCGTGTAGGCCCTGAGTTCGGTATTAAAAATGATCCTCAAGAAGGACCGTTTGGCAGAGTCAAGCCTCCTGCTTTTGGTCAGATGTAGATTAACGTTGATGAAGTCAGTCCTGATGTTTGTTTCAGAAATCAAAGTGTGAGATGAGAGAAACTGGAATAGAGAGCCTTGCGCGGGCTTGGTGTTACGGTGTGCATCTAGATGCCTTCACCCCGAAGCCTCACTTGGGCCTGCGCTGGGCTGGTGCACAGGTGGCTCGACATGCAGCGTGTGATGCTGGGCTGATTTATGCTGCAGTGCTGGGGTCAGGGCAGTAGGGTTAGGGGTGTGAGTGCTGCCTGCCCTGAGTAGCCTGGATAGGACATAAGGGATAAAAAACGCTGTGGCCATCCCTTGTTGCTTTGCTGCCTTCTGCCCACCATGAACTGTTTCGATTCTGTGATGTCCCCTCGGCCACACCACCCTACCTTAGACCCAGCCAGCTATGGACAGAAACCTCTAAAAACTATGAGCTAAATCAACTTGGCCTCTTTTAAACTTGGGTGTCAGGTATTTTGTCTCCATAATGAGGAAAGTAGACACCTTGTAAGGCTGATTCCTAAAAGAGTCTGCACCCAGCTCCTATTGGGTGGATGTTGACTCCTAGGCTCTGGCGCCAACCTGGTCATGGATGACGGGGCCAGAAGTGAGCACCGAGTTCAATGGCAGACATATCAGGCACTCTCTGAAACTGGCATCAAGCAACACAAGGGCAGTTTCCAAGACCGCATTGGGTTAGTCAGAAAAAAAAGTTGAGCGGAGTGAGGGACAGAGGAGCAGTCTCATCTGGCAGCCTAGACGCGCATAGGAGGCGACCCAGGTGGCAGCTCAGCACGAGGACTCAGGCCTTCTCGGCTGCTTCAGGTTCCAGCTCCACAGCTATGTGAATCCGAGTACTTCATGACCGGAGGTTCAACCTCTTACTCTATCTCGAGGATTGCAGATGGTGGTAGCAGGAAGACAGCTATGGAGTAACACCTGCCACCACTAGCTGATTCTAGGGTATGCTGACAGCGTTCGCTAAATAACCAGAAGGCAAAAGAGGAGGAGAAGCCAAAGATGTTTCCAAGAAAGAGAAAAACGGGATAAAACAGCCATCTGCAGGCATACACCAAGCCACCGTGTGTGCCTGAGCTTCGGAACCCGGAGCCGCACAGTTCCTCACCCAGCTGCTGCCCCTTCTCTGCCTTCTGAAGCACCGTCACCTTCAAAGTTTCTCCATTAACCATCAAAAGATGGCCCTCTTCAGAGCCAATGTACAGGTCGTTCGTTGGGGTCCAGCAGTGCATGGTGGGGTGAAGCAAAGTATACAGGTCATCTTTCGGCTGCAGAGAAAGAATAAAACATCTTGTATTAAGACAATAAGGGAAGGGCCAGCTAAATAGCTCATCAGATTAAAGTGCCTGCAAGCAGGTGCAGGGGCTGGGGGTTCAATCCCCTAGCCTGCCGTGCTGGCCCCGCCTCTGGGGTGCTCTGAGACAGCAAATGAGACTGGGCGTGGTGGCACACTCCTGTAATCCCAGCACTTGGGAGGCTGCAAACAGGTGGATCACTATGAGTCCGATCTAGTAGTGAGATCCTGAACACCCTGTAGACCCTTCCCTAAAATTAAAAGAAAAAAAATTAAGGGGCTGGGGAGATAGTTCAGTAGAATAAGTGCTTGCCTGGTAAGCACAAGGGCCTGAGTTCAATGCCTGGTTCAGGAAAAAAAAGAAAAAAAATTCATGAAGACCAAGCCAATGCTACCAGACTATTAACAGATATTTTAGAGAGGGATCAAAATGACTAAAGCTCCATGCATGAGACCAGAAAGAACCCACCAACTAGGGCAAACAATTAAACACAGGAGAAAAATAGGTCATCAATAGCAGGAAAATAACATGTCAAACATAAGTCTATACATCTCAATTGTAACCATCAATGTAAAAGGACTTAATTCACCAATTAAAAGAAATAGACTGGCAGGGTGAATGAGGAAGCAAAATCCAACCATATGCTGTATATAAAAAAATACACTTAACTCATAAAGAAATTCATAGGCTGAAAGTCAAAGGATGGAAAACAATACTACCTGCCCCAGCACCTCAGAAAAAAGCAGGGGTAGCAATCCTTTTCACAGACAATCTGAACTTCAAACCAAGAATGATCAAATGAAATAAAGAAAGGCTAGTACATACTGATTAGGGGAAAAATACAAGAGGAAGAGATAATAGTCATAAATATGTATACACCAAATATGGGAGCACCCACAACTATATAAATGAATCTAAATGGACATGAAAAATCAAACAATACTACCCGCCCCAGCGGGTAGTATCAATATCTACAATCCAGTGAAAATTCAAGCACAACTTATCAGAATTTATGGGATGCAATGAAAGCAGTTCTCACAGGGAAATTTGTAGCTGTGAACTCACACATTAGGAATACCCAATAGCACCATCATAGCAGGAGACCCTAACACCCCCTTATCCCAAAAAGATAGGTCAAGCAGACAAAAAATTAGCAAAGAGGTAGCAGAACTGAAGCAGACCTTCAAGCTAATGGACTTAGTGGACACATATAGAGTGTTCTACCCAACCACATCTGAATACATATTTTTTTCAGCTGCACATGGGACATTTTCTAAAATAGATCACATACTAGTCCATAGGTCATGCTTAAGTATATTCAAGAAAACAGAAATTATCGCATGCATATTATGTGACCACAGTGCAATGAAACTGGAAATAAATGACAAAAGAAATCATAAAAATCCCATAAACACATGGAAATTAAACAACACCCTCCTCAGCAACCAATGGGTCACAGATGAAATTAAACAAGAAATTAAACAATATCTACAATCCAATGAAAATTCAAGCACAACTTATCAGAATTTATGGGATGCAATGAAAGCAGTTCTCACAGGGAAATTTATAGCTGTGAACTCACACATTAGGAAAACAGGATGGGAACAAATAAATACCCTAATGCTGCACCTCAAATGTCTAGAAAAAGAAGAGCAAACCAAGCCCAAAGATGGGAGGAAATTATAAAGACTAGAGCACAAATTAATGCAATTGAGACAAAGAAAACAATACAAACAACAAATCAAAAAGCTGGATTTCTGAAAGATTAAATAAAATTGATAAGCCCCTAGGTAACCTCATCAAAAAGAGGAAAGAAAAAATTCAAATACAAGCAATAAGGAATGAAAAGGGTGTAATTACCACAGACCCAGTGGAAATTCAAAAGATCATCAATAGCTTCGTTGACAATCTTTACTCTCACAGAATTGAAGACACAGAAGAAATGGACAGATTCCAAGACAGGTACAAATTACCAAAACTGGATCAAGAAGATATAAGAACTCTCAATAACTCAATATCAGCCAATGAAATTGAAAATGAAATTACAAAACTTACCAACAAAGAAAAGCACAGGTCCTGATGGATTCACAGCTGAACTCTATAAGAAATTTACAGAAGCTATAATCCTTATACTCCTCAAACTCTTCAATGAAATTGAAGGAAACAATACTCCCAAAATCATTCTTGGAGGCAAGTATTATACTGATACCAAAAACCAGAGAAAGATTCAACCAAAAAAGAGGACTGCAGGCCAATCTCCTTCATAAACATAGATGCAAAAATTCTCAATAAAATCTTAGCAAATAGAATACATCAAATCATCAAGAAGATTGTATATCATGACCGGGTAGGATTCACCCCAGGGATGCAAGAATGTTTCAACATTTGCAAGTCTATAAATGTAATACACTATATCAATACAGCTAAGTCCAAAAACCACATGATCATTTCAATGGATTCAGAAAAAGCTCTTGACAAAGTCCAACATCCATTCATGATCACAGCCCTACAGAAAATTGGAATAGATGGCCTATACCTCAACTTGATAAAAGCCATCTGTGACAAACCAAGAGCTGAAATAATTTTAAATGGAGAAAAACTGAAAGCTTTTACTCTCAAATCAGGTACAAGACAAGGATGTCCTCTATCACCACTCATATTCAATATAATTCTGGAAACATTAGCTAGAGCCATTATACAAGAGAGAGAAATAAATGGAATATGAAGGGGTAAAGAAGTTAAACTATCATTATTTGCAGATGACATGATACTCTACTTGGAAGACTCAAAAAACTCCACCAAGAAGCTCCTAGAATTAATAAACAAATTCAGTAGCATAGTGGGTTACAAAGTCAATACCCAAAAATCAATAGTATTCCTCTACACAGATAACAAATGCACTGAGAGAGAAATTAGAGAGATAATACCCTTCACAATAGCACCCCCAAAAAAGAAATACCTAGGAATTAATCTAATGAAAGAAGTAAAAGATCTATTCAATGAAAATTACAGTACTCTGAAAAAAGAGATCAAAGAGGATTTCAGAAAATGGAAAGATATTCCTTGCTCCTGGATAGGAGGAACCAACATTGTGGAAACAGTCATACTCCCAAAATTGTTATGCAGACGTAATACAATCCCTATCAAAATACTACCAACATACCTCACAAATGTAGAGAAATCACTCCTAAAATTTATTTGGAACCAGAAAATATCTAGGATAGCAAAGGCAATCCTGGGCAACAAAGGCAAGGCAGGAGGCATTACAATCTCTGACTTGAAATTATACTGCAAAGCTAGTGTGATAAAATCAGCATGGTACTGGCAAAAACAAAACAAAACTCAGGATCAATGGAACATATTAGAAGATGCAGATAAAACTACAAACACACTCAACCATCTTATCTTTGACAAAGCAGCCAAACATGTTCACTGGAAGAAAGACAGCCTCTTTAACAAATGGTGCTGGAAAAACTGGCTCTCCACATGCCAAAAACTAAAACTAGATCCAGGTCTGTCACCATGCACTAAACTAAAGTCAAGATGCATTAAAGGTCTAAACATTCAAACAGAAACACTAAATCTCCTGGAAGAGAAAGTAGGTGGAAATCTTGTATAGGGGTAGGCAAACACTCCATGAATAAAAATCAAACTGCATAGGAAATACTTCAAAGAATCAATACCTGGGACTGACTCTTATTGAGAAGTTTCTGCTTGTCAAAAAAAATTACCAACAGAGTGAAAGGATAACCCACAAATTTGGAAAAAGTCTTAATAATGACTCAGACAAAGGCCTTCTATCTAGAATGAAGAAGTAAAAAAAACCCAAAAAAAACAAACCTCGGGCCCCACAATTTAAAGATCCAATCCACAAATGGGCATCTGAGATGAATACACACTTCTCAGAGGAAGAAATACAAGAGGCAAATAAATACCTGAAAAAATGTTCCACATCACTGTCCATTCAAGAAATGCAAATTAAAACAACATTGAGCTACTATCTCACCTCAGAAAGAATGGCTATCATAAAGAAATCCAACAACAACAAATGTTGGAGAGGCTGAGGGGAAAAAGGAACCCTTCTCCACTGCTGGTGGGAAAGTAGACTGGTGCAACCACTATGGAAATCAGTGTGGAGACTCATCAAAAATCTAGGACTGGAAATCTCATTCAATTCAGCTATTCCCTTCCTGGGAATTGTCCCAAAAGAACTGAAAACATCATACCATAGTGATATATGTTCACCCATGTTTATAGCAGCACAATTTGGCATAACAAATCTTGGAAACCACCAAAATGCCCATCACCTGAGGAATGGATGAAAAACATATGGTATTTTTATACAATTACTCAGCTATAAAGAAAGACAAACTCGAAGCGTTCATAGGTAAGTGAATGCAACTTGACGCTATACTTGTAAGTGAAATAAGCCAGACCCACATGTGTAAATATTGTAATATCTCCCTAGTGTAAGAACCCAAAAGAAGAAATAAAACCTGAAAGGTGTAACAGATACAGTTAAACAGAAAGAAACAGAACTCCAAGATTAAACAATGAAGAGGAGAGAAAGGAGAAAAGATAGGCAAAAATATAGGGGAAAAGCATGCAAGTATATATACAGGATGGCTGAGGTGATTGTACTAATAGTTTCCACCAGGTTTTTAAAATAGAAATGGGTAGAATTCTTACCTTGACTAACTCTGTATGCTAATATCTGCAAACTAAGCAAGTACATTGAGGACAGCAACATGTAATACAAAAAACATGCTTGAATACCTGCCATCTTGGTCTTCTAATGTGTACCATTTCTAAGTTTATATCAATTATTACTATATTCTCTTTAAAATAATTTTGTAGAAAAAGGTAATCAAAGAAAGAGACAAGAGAAAAAATTTAAGATTTCTTGAAAGCATGTGGTAATATTCAATCATATGTCCAAACTTGCATAACTATATGTTAATCTGAGCAACAGA